ACGTGCGGAGAGGACAACATATTCCACAGTAAGACGTGTCTTCTTGTCCTCTCCGCACGCAAAGAACTGACAGCCATACAGCTAACGACGTCCATGCTCACCTGGACGAATACAAGTTGAGCGGTGCTAGCTGCACTGATCCGACTGTTGGCTGCGTCGGCGGTTATGCGCGGGTCAAGGACAAGGTTGACGAGTTGAGGCCAGGCGTCAAGAACAGCCTGCTCTTGGATGCCGGAGACGAGTTCCAGGTACAAACGACCCCTAGTCATTCCTGATGGTCTCCCAAACCTGATTCACAGGGAACCTTGTTCTTCTCGGTCCTTGGAGGTTTGTGCATGTGCTATTCAGTCGAGTTCAGCTGCTTACCCTGTCCGCGCAGCGTACCCCATCTCGGAGACCATAAACCAGCTGGTATGACACGTCGCCTGCGGTTTTCAACCCGATGCTGTAAGCTGTTTCCCTCAGGGTTTCGACGTGTTCGTACCAGGCAACCATGAGTTTGACCGTGGCGACGACTACCTTGCTGCTTTCATATGTCATCTTTGGCCAAGGCCATCACGTTCACCTCTGACACCCCCAAACAGCTGAATAACCTAACATTCCCTACCGTCTGCGCCAACATCAAGATGAACAACACCGCCCTGCAGAAAGCGATCAAGCCTTACCACATCTTTGAGCACTTCGACGTTGCCATCATCGGACTCACCACCAATACTACCACGACCATCTCGAACCTGGACCCCGGCACAACCTTCACCGACCATGTCCAGGCGATGCAGCATGCTATTGACGAGATCCACCGGACCACGAACATCAAGCGCATCATTGCGATGACCCACATCGGCTACTCCTTTGACAAGATCCTCGCGCAGCAGACGCAGGGCCTCTACATGATTGTCGGCGGACACTCGCACACCCTGCTCGGCAACATCACTGGTGCCTCGGGCCCTTACCCGACCATCGAGACCAACCTCGACGGCGACGAGGTATTCATCACCCAAGCGTGCGCATACATTCCCTCTTCGACCGAATCACAGGATGGCTGATGCTCGCACAGGTATCGCTGGGGCGAATACCTCAGGTACATCGACATTAGCTTTGACCATCAGGGCAAGGTCGTCGCCTACGAGGGCGCGCCGATTCACATGACGAACGCCACCGGCCAGGACGCAAAGCTCGAGGTGCAAATCAAAACATGGGCCCAGTCCTTCGCTGCATACGAGTCGGAGGTGTCATGGCACGCCTCCAGTACTCATCTTTCCCTGTTTCCCTGCATTCCCCACACGCTCTTTTTACCCTTTCAGGTTTCCTAGGAGCTCCCAGACGCTCCTTCTATTCTTTCGGGGCTTCCTAGGAGCTCCATACATTCTTCTACCCTTTCGGGCCTCCTAGGGCCTCCGCACATTGCGCGGCCTTCCTAGGCCGTTCCACTGGTCACGTGCCGGGCACCCGAGGAGCCTCCCTCTCTCTCATTGGACCATCCCTTGTGTTGCTGATGGATTACTCAGCTACTATATAGTCGCCTGTCGCACCGGGGAGCAACTCAGACTTGTTCTCTCAGTTGCTTCCCTGCCTTGTGTGACAGGTATGTGTATTCATCTCGTATCTCTGTATATATACTCAGTTGCTTCCCTGCCTTGTGCGACAGCGTCTCCACCGCCATCCCGGGGGATCTGCGCCGCTCCTAGGAGCTCCAGCGCATACTCTAACAGGAGGTTGTCGGCGTCTCGCTCGTCGATCTCGACCAGTCGACATGCCAAAAGATGGAATGCACGCAGGGCGACGTCCTCGCGGATGCGATGTTTGAGTACGCGCGGAACCAGTCGCTTGCCCCCGACCTCGCGCTCATCAACGCCGGCACGATCCGCTCCAGGATCGATGCGGGTGACGTGACGATGGGCGAGATCTTGACTAGCTATCTGTTCAGGAATGCGGTCACGACGCTACAGCTCACGGGAGACGTGCTCAACAAGGTGTTCGAGGGTATCGCGAGTGCAACGAGTGTGTTTAACTCGGAGGAGGTCACGAGCTTTGTCCAGGTCTCCGCCAACGTCGAGTTCGTCTACGACCCTACCACCGCTGTCAGAAGCCGGCTTGTTTTGCTCCATGTCAACGGCACCACGCTAGATGCCGATACAACGTATACGGTCGTCACGTCCGACTACGTAGCGGGCGGAGGAGACAACTTCGTTGAGGAGCAGGTATGCAACCTCGTCAATCGGTCCATCGCGCTGTTGGCTGACACAAGTGCAAATGCAGGCTGGCTTTGAGGTCCTCGACACCTTGGACGAAGTGTTTGCGGCCTACATCGGAGTCCACACTCCGGTAAATGTGACATTGGATGGGCGTATCTCGAACGGCACGACGCTGTCAAGTCGGGAATGGAGGCATTCCGCGCTGTTTAGAAAGCAGCTTTGACAGAATCATCGTATATCTTCTGGCTCTGTCATGAGGGAATACAATCCAAAAATGATAGTCATTTGCTATTCCCTGATTCATGCCCGGGACCTGGAATGCTGACAACAGTAGAGCCGTTCAGCATATGTGCGTTGATCACATGGAGTTTCTATTCGGGCCTGGAGTCCATGCTGAGGTATCATCCCCTGAGATCACTGCATTCATGGCAGTAGATCTTCCGGCGTACAAAGTATATCCTCCGTAAGCTCCTGCACACCTCCGAGCCCACTTTCATTCGACGACAAACGACTCCGATCTTCTTTCAATATGTCCCTATCTACCGCAAACCTCTTCACCAACACAGGATCCATGGTGCCTTGTACCGCATCCGCGACCAGGCGGCCAATCACAGGTAGGAACTGTTCGTAGCATGATCATCAAGCTTTTGCGCGCAATGCAAGATGGGCATCCTATGAACCTTGTACGCATGACCGCTGCCGGACGTCGCAAGGAGGATACCGGCGTCAGATGGGTGGGGTCCGATGATCCAGTCCGAGTCGGGCAAGTCAGTGTACCAACATAGTCGTGTCCCGCTGAACGGTTTTTTCGCCGAGCTCAGGGTACACCTGGCGCAGGAAGCTCCGCAA